GGGGGGGGGGGGGGGGGGGGGGGGGGGCGTTGTTCACGCCGCGGTGTGTTCCGTGAATCAAACACGAACAAACGATAAAAACGACAACGAAGGGAAGCAGCGGCGTACGAGACATGTTTCTTTGCCCACAAAAGCACAAAGACCTTTTAGCCAAGCTTGGGTAAGTTGCGTTACCACGTGAAACACGCAAACGCGCAGCAGGGATTTGTACCAGACAGACCAAGCACGCGGACTGCGGACGATTGTGACAACATCTAAAAGCACCAAGCACGGGACAGAATCGACCAAACTCCAGGGCGAGGAAAGGCAGCAATGCTCTTGCTGGTGATGTGTGCAAAACAACACCGCAGTCATCAAACGTGTTATGCATACAACTTTCAGCTAAGCCAGCCATGCGCCAAACCATTTTCAAGGGTGCCGTGTGGTATCTCTGCAGCAGCATCAGACTACACGCACGCGTTGTTCAAGCGTTCGTTTCGTAAAAACACCTCGTAGGACACCTGTAATACAAGTATGATGCGACGAGACACTCTCTGAGACCGAGCATACCGACAAAGCCTACCCGCTTGGACGTGGTTTTGGTTAAGACCCACGCCGTACGAAGGAAGGCACCGCCAATACATAGCGGAGATATGCATACAATTGTTTCAGTCTCAGTGAAAACTGCTGTGCGAATGGCGCGGGCCTGAATACGACGTGAAGCAGTCATCATGATTCCCAAATGGACAGGAAAAAAAGAAATATAAGGCGAGGTGCACAGAAGGATCGCTCACACTCGACCATTCCAAACAAAGCGTACAAAAATGTGGAGATCGCCTTCAATAAGGGTACTACAAAATACGATAGTTTTCTCAAAAAGCTCTCTGCTAATGCCAGTCTAATAGAGCACAGCACAAGCAGAAGGAGTAGCCTGTCGCGAAATCCGCCTACGATCAGTTCTGATTTGCCTGCATGTAGACAGCTTTGTGTCGCTCTCTCTACAGCTGTACTTGTCTCTATAATAATAGTTGTTCTACATCCCAAACACACCAACACACCCAACACACCTGCTCCACCAGACGACGGTGGTGGTGCTCCAAGTAGCTGTCCAGCTCCGCGAGGCTCGCGATGCTCCCTGGAGAGCTGCGCCGCATCGCCGCCGTCGACGCCGACAAGTGCCCGGGCACCGGCGGCGGCCTCCCCTGCTGCCCGCGCGACCCTCTACCGGAAGTATACGACACGGGAGACGACATGAAGCCCCCGCCGCCCCCGCGCACCGATCCCCCGCCGCCGGACACGCCAAACGCCTCTGACCTTCCGCCTGCGGTAGACGGCGAACTCTCTCCCCCGTGCCTGTTGCTGCTACTCCGGCCGCTCGAGCGGCGTGTCCTGTTGCTGCTGCTCCCTCCGGTTCCGCCGCCGCTGCCGCCGCCGCCGCCGGTGCGGCTCGAGCCCCCGTAGGAGGACTGCGGGGGTGGGGGCTGCGGCGGCACGACGGCCGCAGAGTTGTTGCGGTGCTGCTGCTGCTGCGCTTGCTGCGCCTCCGCGTACTGCTTGGCGATGATCCACTGCTTCTTGGCGTTCAGCAGAGCCAGCGCCCGGTCGACGTTGTCAAGATCGTCCAGATCCATGGCATCAAACCCGCTCACCACCTCCCTGAGGTTCCCGTCCGCCCCGGCCTCGCCCATCTGGATGTCGGGCACGGGGCCAAGGGTGGGCGGCGGGCTGCGCGATCGAGGCCCCCCCCGAGAAGGCGACGAAGAGTCGCGGTTCGACGCTCCGCCGACTCCAACGCCTCCCTGCCTGCTGCTGCTGCTGTTGCCCTTGTCCGATCCGGTCAGGAGATAGTCCATCGGGCCCAGGGAAAGCCCGGCTCCGACGTCGAGATCCATTTGTCCGCCCTGAACGGGACCGCTGCCACTGGACGGGGACACCGGAGTGACGCCCGCCGGCGCAAGGAGGTGGTCAGGGGCGTGGTGATCTAGGAAGCCGCCGCCGCCGCCGCCACTGCTGCCTACAACAGCAGGCACGTTGGAAATCGGCAGCGGTTGCTGCTGCTGCTGCTGCTGTTGCTGCTGCTGCAAGATCGCTGCTGCTGCTGCTGCAGCTACTGCGGACGATGACGAGGCTGTGGAGGATTCCTGGATCGTGGCCTCCATGCGCTGGGACTGCTGCGACTGCACGCGGGTCTTGAGGTGCCTCTGTATCTCGTTGCTGACGTGCAGGTCGTCGCCCTCGACGTCGACCCGGCCCTCGTGCGGCTGCTCCAAGAACACGCGATCCAGCAGAGTCATCTCCCGAGCCTCCGCCCTCGAAGGAGACGGCTGTCGAGACGCCGCCGCCAACCCTGCTGCCCCCGATCCAGATCCTGCTGCTGATCCCGATCCGCCCGCCATCGTCGACGCCGAGCCCAGCGTCATCATCACTGCTGCGGACGCGCACACGGCAGAAGAAGAGCTGGTCGCCGCTGTTGCCTGCTGCAAGCCGTCCGCTGCTGCCGCCGCAGCCGCCGCATCGATGACTCTTGAAAGAGTCGGCGAAGAATGACCCCTCGCGGAGCTGCTGACAGAAGCCGGTGTTGGTGTTGGAGAGGAGCTGGCCCTGCTGCCGCTCCCGCCTGCGGGCGTGGGAGAGGAAGCGCCCCAGGAGGCACCCGCCCCAGCCCCGCCGCTGCTGCTGTTGCTGCTGCGTGTGGCGGCTACCTTGTGCGGGGGCCCAAACGCCGGGCTCTTGCTGCCGAGCCCGCGCTGGGAGTGCGCATGTGGTAGGTTGTACCCCTTTCGAGTCTGGTCAGCACTGCGCTTCTCCCGGGGTCCGCTCAATGTGGCGTTGCTACCACCGCCGCTGCTGTCCGGGAAGACGCTCCGGGAAGTGCTGCCGCCCGCCTTGGAGGACGGGCTGCGCCGAGCACCCACGTGACCGTACGCCGTGGCGGCATGGACGGTGGCGATGGTTGAGGAAGGGGGAGCCTGCTGGTTCGGGCTCGGCGTGCGTGAATGGCTTGGGCTGTTACGCTTGGTGAGGGGAGCAGTCCGCCTCGGCTGCTTCGCCCGCTCTTCCACCTCCGGCACCGATGCAGACCCGCTCTTCCGGATACACCGGTGGTCGGCCCGGATGGGCGGCATGGTGGTGGTGGTTGGTGGTCAGGCACACCCCCTTGCCGCTTCACGATCGTCCTCACCAGCTCTCGGTACGGAGAGCAGAGACGCACACACACACTTCGAAAACCGCAGCAGCAACAACAGCAGCAGCTGCAGAGCTGCAGTAGGGAGCTGAGAAGGAAGACGCCTGGACCAACAGATATCACGCTTTCGCCCTCCAAGCCTCGGCCAGCGGGACAGCGCCCCACCCTCTCGGACAACCAGACCTTACCCGTTTACGGGGCGAAGACGAGATCGGCCGCGAGGCCGTGGCGCCGCGGGGCGAGGGAGAGAAGGCGCGCGGAAGGAGAGCGAGTGTTTTCTGAAACAAAAGGAAAAGAGCGCATCAGCGCATCATTATTTGTTAGGAAACGGAACCGGAGGAGAGAGAGAGAAGGAGAGAGATCGGATGCATGAAAAAAAAAAAACTACATTTACGCCGCCAGCTCTATCGATGTAACTGCGACGTTACTAGCATAATACAAGAAGAGAGAACAACCGGGTCGCGTTGTGAATGTGGGATTCGAGATACGTTTTCATACGGTGGAATGATCGCGGAAGGAAGCAGACGAGACGCACTCATTCAAACACAGCGGTAATGCGCTGCGTCTTGCGTTGTTGTTCTCTTTTCCGTCCAAACTGCAAGAGAAGAGCATCACCCGCCCGCGACAGAACGACGGGTAAAATCTTACCTTCTTCGCAGTACAAAGGACACGACAAAGAAGATTTGGTCTAAAAAATGTGTCACAAATGGTAAAATCTTAGTTTTGACGACCTCTTCTTCTGTCGACTGCTGTCGACCTGTCCACTACTACAGCAGTAGTACTTCATAAAAGAAGAGGTTCTTCAAAAAATTCTTCCTGAGAGAGAGGAGAGAGTGGTTCTATGACCTTCCATGCCTCTTGGTTGGGTGGGTGTGTTTTTTGTGACTACATACATACATACAATCAATCATGTCTTTTCCGCATTGACGGTGTGTGCTTGCGTGTGTCACTCACGACGTTAATATTGCCTCTTGAACGAACTATAGAAGTTATTGCCACCAAGAGGATTGACATGCGGAGACAAAATGCATGCGTAAATCTATTATGCCTCCAGGGCATTTAAAATTCCGCGTACAATTTCAGCCTACTATGCAGACTTCATCTGTCAACGTGGAGATGGATATGGTACTACACACACATGCCGTTTTTGCATATTGCATGCATTTGGAATAACCAGCGAGTGCCGGAGGTCGTCCTGTATTGATTGCCTGGTACCGTTGCATACAAGAAAACAAAGGATAAAAAAAACTTCGAAGGAAGGACAAAGGGTAGTCTGCTCACCATCATCCACGATTGATTCCTTTCACGGTCGTGCCACCACTAGAAGACTCAATGTACACCTATTACTAGTAGCAGAGTGTGAATCTCGACGGAGAGAGAGATGCATGCATCCCTTCCGATCAACCATGCAGCACACAACGACCATGTTCTATGTTCCTCACACCTATTACATGCTTTTCCCGCTCATTCATGCATATCATACGACCCAACGATAATACCTAGCTAGATGCTTTTCCGCTCCTTCATGCATACGACCCAACGATATTATTGGAGCCTCTGCACGACTTGGCCTGGCATCCACCAACATTTTGCCTGTCGCTACAGTAGCGTAGTTCATCAAACCGGACGCAGACATAAACAGGCGAAATGAAAGAGAACGACAGGTAGTAGGCCTTGTCACTGTTCCCACGCTATAATGTACTACTATGTACGCACCAACCGAAGGCTAAGCCTCTCTTCATGGCATTTTTTGTACCTCCCCGGGCGCAGAAAACTACTCTTTAGTAATAACCTCAAACCGGACTATGCATGCACACTGTATGTAGCATAGTCTATGTACCTTCCCCACGGGCGCCAAATAAAGAGCCAAGGGTGCAAGCAGCACCACCCCCGAAGTTGGTTTGCTGATTCCTTCGCGTTTGAATTGCCCATCTGCTCAATACCCTCTTGCATCTGTAGCAACGTTGGTCCCACCGACGCAGTCAGTCGCCTTCCACCGTCGAAGGCTACAACTACTACTGTACCCAATAAGGGTGCAATACCGCATGAAAACTCAACATCACTTGGGGTCTAGACGCCCTTGCCTGAATGAACGAGAATGTCGAGACACTACAATGAACACAGCGTCGGGAAAAGACTAGACTAAACCATCACTATAACGCCCTACAATGTCCCACAGACTACAAGCCACAGACTTGCAACCAACGACAAGGAAGTACCCCCCCCGCCCTGTTTAGACAGAACCAACACTAACAGTGTCGCCATCTGCGACCTCAAGTACGGGGTTCCCCTCGACCTTGCAGCGAGAAAACGCCCAAAAGGGGGGATAGCCCTTGTGGTGCATTGGCAGGCCATGCAGCCACCACGGCCCCCCTCCATCATTGTTAGGAGCGAGCAGCAAAGGTCGAACCGGTAGTAGCATCCCAGTGACCTCAGACCCAACTTTGTCGGACAAAGGGCACCCACCACCCCCATCGGATGTGGTTATCGTTGCAAGTGTCATTAAGGGCGCGCATTATCTCTTCATCTTGCCGAGGAGAGCATTGGCCTTCTCCACCAGCCCCTGTCGTCGTCGTCGTCGTCGTCGTTGTGGTAACCGTTACCATCCAAACATGCCGAAAGCAGGCCACCGAAAACGAGCAGAGGCGTTAAAAACTGGCCGATTCTAAATTTTTGCCGACGAGCGATCACGCGGTTGTGGATGTACCATCACGGTTGTTGATGGCTTTGGCTGCCTGGCACTACGTGTACAAAGTCAAGTTTCATTAAAGGTCGTAAAACAGATCAACGAACGGTCTTTATCCAAGCGCTTGGGGTGCCACAGCCTGAGCCTCAGGGTCCGCCGCAACGCTACTTCAAGATCCGGCCTACAGTACGTAGTACCGAGCGGCACCGATACTGTTTTTTCATCGGCCCGTAGAGTAAAAATGCCGTATTCGTTCTCTGTTCCGCAAAATCCCGACGGCATCGGGTGAGCAGAAGACTATTGATCGCCAACATGCGCAAGAGAAAGTCACCACAACCTCTTGTGAGATTTTTACTGTCAATTTTTCTTGCCAAAACACAAGATCAAACATAAAGTAAAATGCAAACTATTTACTAGTAGTGCATACAAGCTGTATTTGGATATCTCTGACAAATACCTAACGGAATTTTGCAAAGACAACTCTAAACCAGTATTCCCGATTCAATAGATTCAAACCAACAACGCCGGTGAGACACGCTCGCAAATCAACCGTCCTGTCATTTTTTTGTTTAAAAGGCACGAAGTGGAACGGAAACCGAGCTTTGATGATACTACGGTACACGTACCTCGACGATCGAAGGGTCGGCGAGAGTGCTAGTGTCGCCCAGCTTGTCGGCCTCTCCCTCCGCAATCTTGCGCAGGATCCGCCGCATGATCTTGCCTGAATGAAACGAAGGAAGTGAGTTTCAGCAAATGAAATCGCGGTCATATTTTCAAAGAGAATTCCAACAGTAGCGTCAGGCGTAACTATGCACACCACGGACGGTGTTCAATCCGGCGTGCCATTCCATACCATGCCATACCCAGCTAGCTCCCTACCGGATCGAGTCTTGGGGAGGCCGGGGGTCCCAACGATCATCCCTGGCCGTGCGAACGGGCCGATGTGCGTAGCCACCTGCTTGACCAATTCCTTCAGCAGCTCCGGGGACTCGGTGTAACTGCCAGAACAAATCAGAACCAAAATTCCACGATCGACGCCACCGTTAAGTTTCATGCCATCGCGACACCGCACGTAATCGTGAAACTACATGTCAGCGTTCAACTGGCGTCGAAACACGCGAGAAAAGAGTGGTGGCCAGGCATCAGGGACGCGTGAGCAAAGGGTCGAACACATAGCGCCCGCCTTCCACGACAGAGACTGTTGCCCTCGCCAGCACTTGGCGGATTGCTTCACGGATCAGCAAATGACTGCTGTGGTCGCAGCGCTCTGCTTTCGACGACTCCGAACGTCTTCCACGACGATCACACACTTCGGGGGCTCCCCACAGCAAGAAAGACGCCGCACACGTACTATAAAGACGAAAACCAACACTGATTGCATTGCCAGCAGCCCATCCGTAGCAACACCAGCCGTGATATCATTGAGCCAAACAAAGCATCACAACATCTATCGAACTCCTTACCCAGACACGAAGGTCACGTAGCAGCAGATAGCCTGCCCCTTGATGGGATCGGGGAAGCCGACGACGGCTGCCTCGGACACCGCCGGGTGCAGCACCAGTGCACTCTCCACCTACATTTCCGTGCGCCAGAGGTGGATACATGTTGGATCCGGGAAACAGCGAAAATTGATGGTGGCGGTGATGGTGTTGGCGATATTGTCACCATTGTTGACGTTGCGAAACAAAAGTGAGCACACGGGAGTGCTACCCTTCTAAAAACGTCAGGTCTACTTGTTGTGTGTCGAGGGGGGTCTTTCTTGTGTAGCCCCGGTGACAAGGTGCAGGTCGCGGGAGTCACGGAGGGGGGATGTTAACCAGGGGGTGTGGGGCGTGGTACCACTGCCTGCCAAATATAGATAGAGGCTGTTGAGCCGGTGCGGTGGCTGCCACATTGGCGCCTGTTTATGTGCCAGCAGCAGAAGCGGCAAAAGCTGCCGCAGGTGCAGCAGAAGCTTACATAATTTGAAAGCAAGGCGTGATCGGCCGAGCCTTCGTCATCGCGTGAAGGCAGCAGCCGAACCAGCGGGCGGTACCTGTTGTTTATCTTGTGTCGTACGCGGCAGATAGGCGAACGTGCATTACTTTGACACTGCACTATACCACCCGCTGTATGGTAAGACCTATCAATTGTGCTACGGCTACAAACCTCTGCGGTGCCGATGCGGTGGCCGGACACGTTGAGAACGTCGTCCACCCTTCCGGTAATCCAGTAGAAACCGTCAGAATCTCGGTGGCAGCCGTCTCCCGTGAAGTAGTAGCCCTACACGAAAACAACAAACGAAGGTGTGGCAAAGGGGGTGAGGGGGGGGGGAGGGGAACGGTGCATGGAACGGTGCATGGGTCTTCGATTTGCTCCACACGAGATCTTAAACAGCGGAGTGACGTTGAAGCAGAAACACGAGCCTTCCACATTTACAAGTAGCTGTGGCGCGAGACGCTATATTTCAACATGGACACCAAAACTACTGCCAAACAGACTTGTGGTAGAGCAGGCCATCGAGAATTGTACGGCTTTCCTCGAGCGCTTTGGGAACGTATGTTACATCCCCGCACATCTAAATAGGTGCAAACACTAGCGCCCGGGTGAGGCACCAAACCTGCCACATGCGCACCACCGTCACCTCTTCGCTCGTTTCCGGTTTGCACAACCCAGGGCATTGGCGTCCCGGAACCAAACCAACCGAGACCCTTGAGCAGCACACCGACCCACCTACAGCTGCACGTTGGTACTTGTCAACAGCCCCACGACAAGGAACATCAACCCACGGACAACCTCAAGACCAAGCACACCTAGACCAAACCCACCTTGATCAGCATCGCGACATGTAAACTGAACCCACGTCAGGACGAAAAGGTATAGCATAGACGTCGCAAAAAAAAAGGCATCAACACACACACACATCAAGAAGACGCGCACCTTGTAAGGGTTGAGGTAGACGTCCATGTACCGCTTGTGGTCCCCGTAAACAGTGCGGGCGAGAGACGGCCACGGGCGCTTGAAGGCGAGCACGCCTTCCACGTCGTTGCCCGTCACCTCCTCCCCAGTCTGCGCGTTGAGCACGGCCGGCTGGACACGAAAAACGCGCACGCCGAGAAAGACGGACGTTAGGAGCCACACATAGGAAAAACACGTTACACGTTAGCATGTGAAGAGAGAACAGCACACGGGGAGGACGGCTGTCTGCGTCTGTGTATGTGTGTGCGTGCTTACTTGTTGTTTCGCCTGGTCCATTTTTCCAAGGAGCACATTCAAGCCAGATCGAAGCTAACTTGTACCAGATCACCTCGATTCCGAAGAAGGGGAAGGAGCAAGAGCCCGGCTTGGTCGGCGTGACGTTGGCCAGGGGGAGCATGACGTGCCCTCCCGTCTCCGTCTGCCAGAAGGTGTCCACGATGTGGCACTTGCCCTTGCCTACCTGAACGTCGAAACAACAAAAGGCAAATGATAAACCCAACACACCAACCACGACCACGACCACGACCACGACCGAGGGGGGGGGGTACGCAGATGGGTGTTTCGAAGAAGGGGTGGGGACGCGAAGGGGTTACGTGGGTGGTGGATGGCTAAACGAGGCACGAAGAGCGGAATCACAGCAGACGAAAATTCGATGCCGGTCGGAGACGGAACAGCTGGAACGCAGAGAGGTCTGTTGCGGGTGACGGGCTGGGTACACGGTATAGTTGAGAGGAACTACGAAAGAAAGAAAGAAGCACGCCATGGGCCGATCGATGCAAGCTGGAAGTCATCGCCAGGGAACCTGTACGAGCCGCTCCTGTCTATCCCACGCAAGCGCCCAGATGGGACATTCCTCTTCCCCTGCCTCCGCCCCCACCTTGAACATCGTTCTTCCTCTTCCACCCCCACAGGGTCAAAGCCCACAATAGGAAGGAAATCGAACGCAAGAAGCAACATATTTACAACCCCTTACCCTTCCCTCCCTCCCTCCCTCCCCCCACCCATCCCTTGCCCGCCCCCGGGTTCGTTCAACGCACGTGCTCGTTGTACCAGCGCCAGGCCTCCGGGTTGATGGGTTCCCCGACCGACCCCAGCACCCGCAGCGAGCTAAGGTCGTAGTCGGAGATGATCTCCGGCCCGCAGCTCATGAGCGCTCGGATGGCCGTGGGTGCGGTGTAGAACTGCGTCACCTTGTGTCGCTGGACGACGTCCCAGTACCTGAGCAGGAGAAGAACAAAGTTCGTCGGTGCGGATCGTTGACCAATGGCTGAATCGAGCGTTGGAGATGTGCGAGTCCTCGCCTTTGCGTCAGAAGTTCTTCTTTCACCCCCGACGGGGTCCCCAATACTAATCCCTACATAAATGGTGGGGCTCCCTATCCCAGTTAATCCCTGTATGAAGCCAAACTGGGAGAAGAGCACCAGGCGCATGGATAGGCATCAAGACCAGATCCCATTGGTCCCCCGGAGCTCTCGAACATTCTACGGAACCCCTGAACAGCAGCAGCAGCAGCAGCAGCATGTCTTCCAAGCAAACAAGACGCTAGTCCTTGGCCAGGTCAACTGGCGGCCCTTCAAAAACACACAAAAAAACGGCATCTCGCCCCCACCTTCCGTGGTTGGGGTACATTGGCGTGGACTCGAACATGAGCGAGGTCGCCCCGTTAACGAGGGGCCCGTAGACGATGTACGAGTGCCCTGTGATCCACCCGACGTCGGCCACGCAGGCAAAGACGTCCCCCTCCTCCAGCCCGAAGGCGTGCTTGGTGGTCATCCCCGTGTACAGGAGGTAGCCGGCGGTGGTGTGGGCCACCCCCTTCGGGCGGCCGGTGGAGCCGGAGGTGTACAGGATGAAGAGGAGGTCCTGTTGTTGTTGTCGATGTTGTCGTTGCGGCAAACGGAACGGGGGGTAAGGGGGCGTTGGTTGTTGTTGCTGTTGCTGCTCCTGTTGCTGCTGCGATCTCTCGTTGTTTTCATGTCATAAATCGGTGCAGACTTGAGAGCCCGGCATGCCATTGTTCCGATGTAACGGGCGAGAGACGCACCCAGCCGGCAGCGCTCTCGACGGAGGAATGGACACCGCGGCGACTGCAGCAGAGGGCAGTCAGTCGTGGCGGCCGAAAGATGCGTACCGCAGGTTGAAACATGATATCGCCCACCCTGTGGACCCATTTTCAAAGCCCGTTTACTCCACTGCCACAGGAGAAAAGGGTGGCGGTGACGATAATGGCGGCGTTGCAACACCAGCACAGAGGGCGATCTCTACTATAGGTATGACAGTAGAACAACAACCCCGACTCAGAACCATCACGGCGGGCGTATGAACGCGTTCGATTTCCCTGTGTGAGTTAAGTCCCCCCGTCGCGAGAATGTTTCCAAAGCAGCGTACCTCTGAGTCCATCGTTTCGCACGGGCAGTAGGGCCTCATGCGCGGGAGCATCTCCGACATCTGCACGTCGCGCTTCCCCATCGGAACCTGCCAGATACCCCCCCAAAAAAAGCAGCAGCAACGACACACGCCAGCACAACAAACACAGCCGTGTCGAGACCACAAAATGCATTGGGCTGGCCTCCACATGGCCGTGCAGCAGCCGCAATAGAATGAGGAAGCAAGCAATGTCAGGTCGTCCCCGCTGCTCTTCAACTACGACTACCAACGGTAGCAGCGCCTCTCAAGTCTGCTCTTGGCGGGATGTGGTGCCACTATTTCGTTGCGCGTAGATTTTATGTACCGCGTGCCAGTTCCTGCATTTATGGGAGGGGTAGACCTAGAGCGAGAGCTGTCTGTCCCCCCATGTCGCACGATCGGTCATGGTACGCACGCACCAACCCCGCTTGACCGCAGCGCGGAAAAAATTCGGCGAAAACCAAGTTCATCCGGGCATGATGGGCATCGGCGATTGGGGAGAACGTTCGCAGGGCTTGTGAGGGCCTGATTCCTTCTCTAAGACGGGAACTTGGCGATACAGTCTCCAAGTAAATGCCTGAACCTATATGCTCCTTTCGAAAAAAAGAGGCGGCAAACAACCGCCATGGAGGGAGGGGGATAATCAGCCATCTCATGGGGGGGGAGTACTGCTGCTGTCTCCCTCTCCCTCTCAGCCTCCCTCTTGCCTGACCTTGGCCCCTGTGGCAGTGATGACCAAGACCTTTTCCACGCAGTCAGCGTCCTCCACGGCCTTGTCGACGATGCTCTTGAGGTGCAGGGTCTTGCCCCCCCTCCTCCCCTCATCCGTCGTGAACACCCACTTGCTGTTGGCGTCCTATTGCGGTAGTGATTCAATGGAAGACAAACAAATACTGCTGTGGTTACCAAGGCTCCCCTTCGAGAGCTAGTTAGGTGGCTTGCCTCCCGCGGGCGACGACGTAAGAGGACATGGCCAATGTCATCGCGGTTGCATCGTTGCATCTCAATGTCATGGCGTTCGGTAGTGCCGGTTTGGTGTACAACCTGCAGATTTTTTCTGGAACTTGCATCATGTGCGGTGTATGCTATTTCCTCGCCGTGACTTTTCGCGTGTGCGGGAGTGTGTGTTTTTACGCTAGCGGCGTCTTTGCTGCAGGTCCTACTGCTGTGATCCGCTGCGTTTGATCACTCGCTCATGTGTTTTCGTGTTGCCCATGGTCTGTGGGACTTGTGTGCGTTGCGCAGGCATCAAAACACAAGCCTTCCTGATTGTGAGAAGCAGTTTGTAATGTATTTCTTACGAAGGCTTTCTTCGCGCGGAACACGTCCCCGGGGTATAGAGCCAGTTTTTTCAACTTTGGGCGTCAAGCACACGCGCCACGGGTGGCAGGCGGTCCTCGGGCGTGCGCGGAAAATGTACCGACGCCTCCCCTGCGTGCCACTGAGAAGGAACTGTGCCCCTGAGAAGGAACCGTGAGACGAGACTCGCTTCCGCCAGCGAAATATGTCCCGAAGCACGAAAACAGGCGACATGGTACATGAACATATACCTCGGCTAGTCTTTCTGTAACTGCTGTGCAGTACGAGGTATGCAATTTTCTAAAAAATGACCTTGGCGGTTTCAACTACTATCGTACGCGTTTGCGGCATATCGTTAATTCTGTTGGTGCTCTTAAGGTCGTCAACAAAGCCCAGACGGCGATGGCGACGGAAAAAAATGCCAGAGATCGCACAAGTGACTTGACGGATCTTCGCCAATGCTCACGCAGATGCCGCAGAGTTACAACGACTGGGTGCGAAATCAACAAAGAACGAAGCTCCCTCGGCTATCGTCAGATAGACCCATCCCTCCTCTTACTAAGGTTGTAGGGTGGCGGTCTGTTGCAGTTGCAGTGTGGACAAGTTGCATCCGAGAGTTGTACAGAAATACGACGCTGTCCAACGCTGCGTGCCACTTCTACCACAAACACACGTTGTCTGGGAGCAACACGGTCGGTGTTGGACGAGCACTCGCCAACTTCAAGCACAAGAGGTATAAATAGCAAGGGCCTGGGGCCACTAATAGACTCGTGTCACAGAGCGTCTTTGGGCGATCCAGCGCAAAATACTAAACAAATAAAAAAACGAGGGCCGGCAGAAAAAGTGCTGAATCAACCATGTGCGACGGCGGCAACAATGACCAGGAATCTCGGCCACTGATGTGGAATAGCAGCCGCGAAGCCAAGGGCGTACGCGATTGTAGAGGGTGGTTGATGGTAACTTCGTACTATAGTCAGCAGGAGTCAAGCAGGAGAGCCGCACACACCAAAGCTAATGTCAGTCCGCCATACTGCTGTAGAGCCTTCGCAACTTGATGCCAAAATCGGCGTAGTGCACAATCCCGACGGCGGTGCTCGGTAGTCCGACGAATTTTCTGATCCGACCAAGTTTCGCCTACCGAACCGCATGCCCGAAAACTACAGGAGATAACTCCCCCCTTCTCAGCGGCAGACAGACCTTAACAACAGCCGGAACGCCAAGGATAAGAGCCAAGGGAACCGTTGACACGCAGGCAGCCACGGCAAGGCTGGCCTATTCCTTCTTCGCCAGAAGCGCCCCCCAACCCAAAGCACATCCATCTTGACGGCCTTCCTCACTCACCACGATGCGGTCTCGCAGGGCCTCAGCGCTGAAACCAGCGAACACCACGCTGTGAGGGGCGCCCAGGCGCGCGCAGGCAAGCATGGCGACGGCTGCCTCGGGCACCATGGGCATGTAGAGCGTCACGAAGTCTCCCTTCTTCACTCCCAGCTCCTTCATGGCGTTGGCCATTCGGCAGACCTGCCCCAGCAGGTCCTCGTAGGTGATCTTGGTCACCACTCCGGGCTCGTCGCCTTCGTGCAGGATGGCAACCTTGATGGCCCCCAAGCAAGCATCACGTCATATCGTCGTATCGAATGAAAACATGAAACGGCGGGGAGTCAAGCAGTGCTGGTTCTACGGGGGGAGTCACGCAGTGCCGGTTCATACGGGGGGAGAAAAGCGGTGCCGGTTCAATACGGAGCGCTATCATACAGCAGTACATGCTGCTGTTGGTGCCGTAACCTCTTTGCTTCAAGAGAGGAGCGATGACCGATGTTACCAAGCATCACCCATACGCCGTGGGTGACACGATGATGTAAGATACCACACCCTCTTGAATCCATTTTCAAAGCTAACCCTCGATTGGTCCACGACGAAGAGGATGCATAAAACGAAACGATAGGTCTTCGGAAAGCTCTCGACGGGACGGATTCAACGCCGCCGTGTTCGGCGCTGCCACTCTTGCTGCTGTGGGGAAATCGAGCTTTGAGAATCGGTCCAAGGAGTGCGATATCTTACATCATGTCACCTACGGGTGCTGCTATAGAGACAAAACATCCACTCGACCGAGTTCTGGCCCACAAATACTCCGGAACGGTGCATAGGAATATTGTCGCTGCGAACATGGTTCGCCTACCATGCGCTGAACGGGCTGAGGGAGCAAGTGCCGTTGGATATTCTCGAGTGCAGGCCCCCCTCCGGCTCCGGCCGTTGAGTCGGCAAACAAGGACACCACACACGCCCGGACAAACCCAGAACAACAAGCTCGACAGCATTATACTTACTCTCTCTGCCAACATATGCCCACCTGCTTGGCCCGCTGCGGCAGGTGCTGGTCGATGCAATTGTAGCAAGCGTTCAGCTGTCCGCCGGTGAACCAAGCCACGTCTCCGGTGTCGAAGCCGCCCTGGGACACGCGATCGAAGTCGCGGAACCACTTCAACGTGGACCGGGCGGCATCGCCCCAGAAAGTGTCCGGCTCCTCGAGACTCTGCTTGTGCATCGCCTGCTCGTGAGATTCGCGTACCCCGACATGGCAAAAGAGGACGGCGTGCAGTGACTGGGTGGAAGCAACACGCGCAATTCCATGTCGTTTCTTCGCGGAATGGCACACTATAGCTTGTAGTCAGCAGGTACATTGTAGCAGCCAGTATAGCACAGCCGTTCGGAGAGTGCGGGTCAATTTGCCACTTGCTGCATGTCAAGCATGTTTCGGGCAAAATTCTGAAGATCAGACCCACTCAACGACGAACACTGCAACAGCAGTCGGCACGCTTGCTGAAGGTGCATCGAAGACATGTAACGACACGTGACCAAGAGCTGCTGTACACAACAATCCAACCGCTGTTGCAATTTTGGTATGTTACCTCGTAGGTCTTCATGCCATCCGGAACCGCATTCGGGGGAGGATACGTTTTGGGGGCATCCTGCTGCTGTTCGCTCATGCTGAGAGGGGCGGGGTGGTACGGCGGCCTCTTGGAGACGAGAGGTCGTACAGAGAACCCAGCGCTGAGTGGAAGTCCGATCACCAGCAGACGAGCGAAGCGCATTGATCGATTGAAGTGCACAGCCTGTCTCAACCATCGTCCTTGCGGACACATGGGGGCGCCGCGGACCGAAATATGGGTACCATGGAACACATGCCGCGGTGCACCAGAACATGCAACATGCCGCGGTGCTGTTGTTTGGATGCAGCAGTATCTTGGAACGGATATATGCAACAGCCCAGCACCCACACTTTCATCTACACTATACTTGTCGTATCTAAACGCCGGTGACCCACTCGCCCACTATCTACTGGATGGTGATGGTCGTGGTGGAGACTAATAAACAGTGCTGCACGGCTGAAAAAAAAAGAAGTAAGTACGCCGAATAATGCTTCCAACGGGAACGCAGCCCCTTGTGGAAACCCCTCTGATCAGGCGGCTCGCTCGGCACCAGACCTCCACACCTAGCATCGGCTCTAGAGGGCGAACGAGAACATAAACTGTCCAGATTTCAAGAGATGTATGTAAATAAGATGTCAGGGTACACCAGGGTATGTTTTATACGTACAGTTGTGAACGGTAGGGTGAAAAAGTTGGACTTTAGCTAGAGTGCACCACCATGCAGCAGCTCCAAAATCAGGGAGCGAGCTTCACATGCGACCCGACCTCTGCGCGAGGTGGTTGTATTGCAGCCTAACTATGCTACCGCCTTATACCTAGGTTGTATTGTCACATAATGCAAAAGGTTTGAGGCGATTTAGTGTGGCAGGGGATAAGCATGGTGTGTTCAAAATTCAAATTTCAGAAGAGTCTATGCCGTGGGTCCGCAGCCCTCTTGTAGGTACATCTTTGGATACACCATTCCCACCCCAAGATACGATGGAAATGCTCAACACAATAATGCCAGCTCAGGGTCAGCCTATCACTACAAATTGCAGACAGATTGGGCTTCAAGAGGGCAAGTACGATTTCTTCGAGTTCAATTATTACGCTCGGTGCTTTGCCAATATACGAGCCGAACATGACTCGGGGCGCTTAGCTGCAGACACTCTAGAGAATAACTACGTATTTGAACAGGTTTCTGTCCGTTGCGTTCTCAGGTGCATACGCGCGCCCGTAAAGAGGATCAGACCTTATGCATGGCTGTCAAGAGGCACCGAAAATCCCACCCCACGAATAGGCGTGCGCCTGGCTTATAGCTGTACGTGCAAAAGTGACATGTTGTTGTCGTAACTCTGGTCAGGTTTTGAATGCATGGAAAAACGGCCGGCATAGGTCGAGCTGCTGCCAGATGAATTCCCGTCCACGTAGGGTGGGCCAACCGGCTTGTGGGGTGAAGAGCCCCACAGCTCTACCGGGTACGCCACCGGCGTTGCCTCGGAACCAGTATGGGAGCCCTTCTACACCCGGAAGCGGGGGTATACAGCCGATACTAACCCTTCGCCAGCTCACGGAAGGCGCGCTAACCCCGCGTCAGCCAGTGGTCGACGACACAGAAGGAGACGCCACAAGTGAACGGAGACGGAGCGGGAGCAGGGGAGAGGGTTACCTAACCAACGAGGCGCGCACCGCCATCGCCGCGACAAAGCGCGACGCGGGAGATTCCCGTGCACGTGTCCGTCGGACGGGAGGAAAGACCCGGTCGGGCAGGAAACGGAGGAGGAAGAGGAGGCCCTCTGCTAGTGTCACGGGTGGGTGCCTACCCAACCTCGAGAGCAAGCTCGAGGAGGAGGATTACTACAAGCAGCAGAGCGAGGCCAGGAGGGAGGCCACGGCTCGTAGAGATCGCGCGATTGCCGAAGATGAACGGCGACAATCAGAGGCCGGGGGGAATAACCCCGTTGATACTCGGCGTAGGAGCCACGGCGGGAACCCAAGACAAGCCGGTCATCTGCCAGGCAAGCGGAATGCGGGTAGGAGACTTTCTGCCCCGGCGGTGCTACCTGTAGGACAACCAACAGGCAAGAAGCGAAAAAAGGCGTGCGGCCGTCAGGAATGCGGTTGGGTTACACACTACCCTCGCACCGAGTGTAGCACATGCCCCGGGAGTGTAGTCCACTCGGCCGACGAGATACTATGTTCGGCATGCCACAGATTGCCGGACGACGAAGGTTTCACGCACCTCCGCGCGGACCGGCTAGGGCGAGCTGTAACCTTCGTAGCCGCGTTGAGACAAGGAGAGAAAACCCTGCCTCTAGCTATGGTGCGAGACTTTAGTCCCAGCAAGGACTGCCTCTGCCAACGCCCAGACTGCTTCCTAGCTTATTTCGCCGAGAAAGAAAGGAAGGCAGAGCTTCGCCAATGCAGTAAATGCAAGTACCGGAAATCGGACAAGAGCCGCGTAAGGTGGTATCCCATGGATGCTGCAGGAGATCATGTCGCGGAGGGTAATGCGATGGTGAGTGATGGTGACTGGTGGTGCGGCCGTTGCCACCAGAGCCGCTTGAACGGCATGAAGATAGACGACAAACCGCCAGAGCAAGCAGCGAACAAGCTATGTGGATCGGGGGACGAGGCGCCGACGCTTCTAGAGCCTTTGAGCACGGTGCGGAGGATGGTGGATGACGTCCTCGGTCGAGGTGATATCCTTTGCTGGCAGGACGTCGCCGGTTGGCTAACTGCTGAACGAGCGAAGGTTGGCATGGAGGAGATAACGGGGAAGTACGCACGAAGCATCGTCCTGGACTTGTTTACCGGGACGGACGCAGACCCCGACAGCAAATCACGATTGGTCCGAGCCGACGGAGCGCAAGGAGATGCACGCGAGCGGGAACTCTTCCTCTTCCCAAACACCCTTGGGGACAAGCATCTCGTTGAGTTTATGCTGCGTGCTCGACGTAAAGCACCCGCACAGCCACCATCCAACCAGCTAGCGGATAAGGGTAGGTCTCTCGAGTCGATTCTGAAGGAAGTCGAGAAGGACATGGAGGACGCAGACGCAAGGATGTCCGTCGTGCGGGCAGCTGGTAGAATTGTTCGAGCCGACGTGGAGAGTGACCCTGCCCTGAAGAACACCCCCGGGACACGCGAGAAGCATCGCTACGCCGATGAAGAGTTGGAGGACCCCGAGTCGGACGATAACGGCGACGGTTCGGTCGGAGCACTCGACGATTTGATCAAGTTGGATTCGAGCGAATCTGGCTCCAGCGATGGGGAACCTGACGGGGTGAGCGAGAAGAGCGTCGACTCCAACTGGAGTTATGGAGACACAGATGATGGGGTTGTGGATCTCGTAACCGACGCCTGGAACTGAGATCTGGCTACTTCTTCAGGTAGGTACATCATATATCGTTCCTTGGGATTGGGGTTGGGGATGTCGTGCCCGGCATTATTGCACGTCAGATCTCCACGTCGTACCGAAAGATCGTGTGGTCTGATTTATTCTAACTCCATGTTTCAATGACATATTTTGCGCGTCCTTGTTGGTGGTTGAACAGGTCCGCCCGTGCTTCACTTCCGTTGGATGCATCCATCCACGAG